GACAAGGTGTGCAAAGCCACGTAGGGGGATGAGGCTCCCCAGAAGAGGGAGAAGGGTGCCAAGTAGGTGGATGGGGACAAGACAAAAGGCCTAGGACTGACCCTGGGGAACACCAATCTTTAGGGGCAGGGTGACAGCTCAGGAAGAAGAGCCCCACCCCTCAAAGAAATTGGGTGGAAGATCAAGCCTTTCCTACTCCCCCCTCCAGTAACCTTAATGTAGCTCAAACCGTCATCATTGGAAAGGCCCATGTCCTCCCAAACACCCCAAACATCTTCATTTCTCAGTGCCTTTGCATGCAGAATTCTTATACACGGAGTACTCTGCCCACCCTCTCCACTTGAATCAAACATCACTTCCTTTAGAAAAATACCCCAGATTCCACCAATTCAGGACTTTTTTTGACTGAACAATTATTGAGGGCCGCTGTGTCTGACCATATGGATTCAGAAAGTAATAAGATCTGAACCTGGCCTGCAAGAAGTTTACAACCAAGTAACGCGAGACAAGCAAAGCAAGCTGAAGGAGTTAACTCTGCCCGTGTGTGCAGAGCTAATGCACAAAGGCGCCAGGGCCCAGCTCTGTGGTCCAGGTGGCAGAGAGGAGATGGGCCACGCGCTGGAGTGGAATCCTGAAAGTTTCACATTTAGGAAGAAGGAAAGGAATGTTCCGAGCAGAAGGAGCAGCAAAAGCGTAAAGGGGCATGAAGAGGCATAACCCAGTAGGGTCCTTTCACAAAACTAACTGCCCATACAGCTATGCGGCTGGAGCCTATTAGAGGCACCGTGGGAGAGAGAAAAGCAGACAGGCGGGCAGTCTCTCATGACATCACCGGACATCAGGGTAGGGGGAGAACGGACTGGAACTCACCTCAGCCTGCACTGAGGGCCTACTACGTGCCAGGCACCATGAGTTGTTCCCTGGGCTGTGTGCTCATAAAACTTAGTCACTCTGGACAACATTTAATACCTTTTACTATAAATTTACAGATATCTAGATATTTACATAAATATAATTATATATTTATATGCTTCCATATAAATACATTTTTAATCTGTCTCCTCCACGAGTCAGTTAGCTCCGCAATCTGTCAGACCTGACGGCCATGATCCCACAGGAGCGACAGAGGACCAGGGGGGTCATTCCCAGGGAAGCTATCAGACTCTAGGAGCCTGACCAAGACACATCTGTTGAGAGAACTATAATGTAGCATGTGTGACCAATTCACTCCTCTCACTGAGCTGTTTTCAAAGCATGTGAATTAGTTAACCCTGTACAGAATTATTCATTCATGAAGGTAATATTCATTTGTGCCAATTACTTGCCAATAATCCCTGACTGTGTTACATTTACCATCTAGCAAAGAAGACAGAAATCAAATAAATACAATATATAACGATCAATCACAGTAAATGCTGTGCAAGACCAGAAGAGAAAGCTCAGAGAGGGAACAACGGAGAGAAACTGGTTTAGACTGAGAGGGATAAGAGATCATTTAAGCTGAGACCTAAAAGATGAGTAGGGGTCAGCTAGGCAGAGAAGGAAGAGAAGACAGTTCCAGGAAGAGGCAACCCCCAGGTGCAAAAGGCCTGAGAGGAAAGAGCTTTGAGTATTTAAGGCACTGACAAGTCAGAATAACCATACCACTGATGAGCACCAGAGGCGAAGGGCCTGAAGCTGGAGGAGAGGAGAGAAGCCAGGGCAGGTGAGGCCTTGCAGGCCGTGTGAAGGATCTGCGATTTATCCAATTCTAAGGAGAAGCCACTGGGGAGTTTCTTAAGAAGGAGAATAACATTGGATTTATGTTTCTACAAAGTCACTGTGGCAGTCGTGTGAAGGATGAACGTGTGAGGAAACAGGAAGATCAACAGGAAGCAACTCCCACAGCCCAGAGAGACATGAAGGTGGCATGCACCAGAGTGGATGCCACAGACACAGGCAGAAGGTGAGGAATTCAAGAATTATTTTGTATACAGAATCATCAGGATAAAAAGATGGATTCATTATACATGGAAGGAGGTGTCAGAGAGGCATCCTGAGTCTGTGACATGAATAACTGCATGGATGGGGTCCAATATGTTTATTAAGACAGGGAGCATTTGGGGAGGAACAGATTTCAGGGGCAAAAACTAAAGGGCTCATCTCTGGCAGGTAAGTATCAGATGCTTATGAAAAATACCCATGTAGATATCAACAAGCAGTTAACCACTGGAATCTGAGACACAGAAGGGAAGGTGGGCTGTACACAAAGCAATTTGGATGGATGGATGGAGTTTAAAATATTGATACAGAAAAAGCATGACTTCAACCACAGGATCCAGAACTGCACAAACAAACTATTAATAGTATATTCAATCTCAATCCACTACTGCAAGATATAGAAAAAATCAACAAACACACTTATTCCTAACAACCAATCTCTGATCTCTCTTTAATCCTTCCCAATCTTCCAAAAAGATGAAACAAATAATGTATATACTGATATAACCAAAAAACTATCCAAGCAGGGCTTTCTGAATTCAAAAGCCTTGCAATCAAACACAGCACTGTGAACATTTACATTTACTTCAATACTCTGAATTAAAAGTCTCTTTAAGCCTAGGAAATTATGATATAGTTGAACACATGTTTCAACAAAGTCCTCTTAAATACGTTAAAATATAATCTTCCATGGGTGGGATCTAAGGTGGATTCTTTACACCAAATTCAACAGTACCATAAACTTTATTATAGAAAAGATCCCATAGTGTTTTAAGAATACTTTAAAGGTTTCAATTCAAAGTATACAAATATAGGTCTGTTCTATTATTTTTAGCCTGTTCTAATAAGTATTTTATACTTATTAAATTGTCTTCTTAAATTGGGACATAGCTGTTTTTTGAGGTTAATGTGACTGACAAAATCAAATGTGAGGTTTAGAATGTCTAACCCCAAGTAGAGATTTGTATACTCTTTGGATTAGAGTTTTTTAGTCTTTATCTACAAGTCGTAACTTTTATGCTTGAAAATAACCAATTCAGCGAATTCCTATAGACCAATATCTTTGTCTTTACCACATAGCGAAATTAACCAGAATAAAAACCTAAGGTTTCCTGCCTTTCTGTCCTGGTGCAAAAGGGTAAGCCGAGAAGGGGAGAGGAAGTGCACCAAGATGCCTGCGTGCAGCGTGCTCACTGTGGAAGCAGTGTGCTCTGCCCCGCGAAGGGAACAAACTCCTTAGCGTTGTCAGAACCTCCTCCTGAACAATCTAAACACAAAAACATTCATCTAAGGAGATGGCCTGCTCCAGCCCTACAAACAGACTGATTCTGACTTGGATGCTGTCTTACCTTTTTCCGTCTTCGGCATGTCTGAGCTCTGCTCTCGTGCCTAACCCTGACCTCTATCAAAATGACATTTCAGTTAAAAACGCCTCTACTCATTTGCTCTGCCAGTCTGCAAACATAACAGAAAAATAAGTTGTCTGGATCAATTACTTGGGATGAACAAAAACACTACAATCTCTCTTTTCTTCCAAAGTTCATATTTCTCAAGTCACTTTGAATTTTTAAAAAATCCAGTAGCTGATTATTTAATATCACATTGCTACTGGATTCATAGATCTTGAATCTAGCTTAGCTTTCCGTGAACGAAATCAGAGCCTTACTGTTAAGGATCAGGGCTAACAGAGAGCTATCACACCATGGAGGTGGCATTATGCAAACGAATCCCAGCAAGTCTAGGAAAAGACCAAATTTTCAACAAGTATAGAACTCTTCGCCTCTGAGCACTCATTACCAGTCATGCTCAATCATGTATACAGTCCTGAGGTGAGAAACTGCAATTCTACAAAGTTCCCATACCCAACATCCTTTAAAATTCAGGAGTTTGAATTTAACTCAGCAAACTCTTTACTCTGAAGATCTTATTATATAATCAAGTGCCAGGTGCTTTGTTCAGACAGCATCCTACTAAAAGAGTTCAAACATCATGTTTTGGAAATGTTTAAAAGCCTAGAAAAGAATTAATAGATGATGACGACAACTCAATAAATGGAAACCACTGTAATGGTGAAACTGTAGTTTGGTGCTGACACATCAATATCCTGGTGGCACTAAAACTGCTAACCGAAGCACTGAACGGACTCAGTCTGAAGCTCTGCTTACAATACCACAGCTCTTTACCAAGTGCAGCTTCCTCCTTTTAAACACCTTTCCTAAGTGGAGTAACATGATATTTAAATATATTTTTTAAAATAATAATAAATACATGTATTAAATTCTTCATTAAGGACTTTATCTCTCAGGTTAAATATTCACTACTACTTTAAACAAAGCAACTAAATGTTTTCATACATGCATTATATGGCATTTTTAACTTCTAAACATGCTTCCAAAATACTGTATTGTTACAATGAAAATGCCACATTTTATATTTTTATATAAATAAAAACCCTAACAACACTAAAATGGAAAATTGTGTATTCACAGCATTGCTGACCCTTAGTGATAAGCCCATCTTACAATAATATGGAGTTTCAAATCAAATACACAATCTTTACAGAGAGTAAAGGAAATCAATTTTTGCAATATGAAAATTCATGTTACTCTTTTTTCCTACAGTCCTATAAGTTAAAATTAGTCTCTTTATTCTTGAAAAACTCCCACATCACAGAACGAATACGGATGTCTTGATTAAAACACACAACATAAAACTTTAAAAGACATGGGACAGAGCATAAATAAGACAGTTTACTCACTTAAAATGCATTTCCATAAAAACGGAATTTACTATTTTATTTACTGTTTGACAGACTGTAATTTTATTTACTATTTCAAAAGCTGTCTAATTGGTTTTATGCAATAATTGCACACCCATACCACATCAATTTCCATTTTTTCCTTAAATTTTATTACAAGTCTACTTGAAATAAATTCTGAAAAACTCTTATCCACCTTTTTAGTGCAAAAGAATGAATTTAAAGAAAATTTAAACTGAACAGATTTTTAAGTTATTTATACCTTTAGCCCAACACATTGGAAATGGACTACAGCCGCTCTTCTCCATACAGATGGCACCTGCTGGTTTCAGGGCCTCTCGGCCCGCCAGTTCCAACAACATAAACTCAGTCCTATAAAGATCAAGCCAGGAGTCCGCACACCAAGTCCCAGTTCATCGCTCCCACAGGATTTGCTTCGATCCACAAGCAAGACTAAGTTTCCCCTGTGTGCTCCTTTTTCTCAGAGCTTGAAGCAAAATTGGGAGGTGTTCCTTCTGTAATACTTTCCAGCAGCTTGAAGAATGCCTGTCAGTTACAGAATCTCCTCTCAGTTACAGAATCTTCTCGTGCTTCCGCAATCTGAAACACAGACCATCCTGGCCAGATTAAGCTACTGAACAGAATGAAACCAGCTAGTAATGTGACCCCACGGGTCTGTGTTCCTAGATTCATTCAGGGAAGGGGAGAGAGAGGGAGGGGAGAGAGGGAAAGAGGGAGGAGAAAAAGGCAGCCAGTAGCCAGCACCTTATTAATATGCTAATTTCACCCTTGTGTTCAATTCATCTGGCAGACTCCTGTTTACAAACCTGACAGGCAGTCCTAAAATTGAGTAAGCTACAAATCAAGTCTGACCCAGCCATGTCTGTAGATGGCTCCTCAAACCACGTTTGTTTTCAGTCATGCTTTTGGCATTTTACCAGCCTACTTCTGACCTTACAGTTAAAATAATTACCTTGATGAAATAAGAATAATTTTGAAAAAACATCCTGATCAACATTAAAAACAAGTCTGTAAAAAATATGTCCAGAGGAACTCTATTTTTGAGGTAAAACATTTTTCCAGATTGATACTTTAGTATTAAGTTTGTAAATTCATAAAAACTAGAAGACATAAAAACAAGAATTTGAGGTTGCCAGATTCTTTTAAAATTAGCTTAGGGAATACTGAGAGATACAAGATGCATGGTTTCTTTTCTTAGCTTCAAAATATAAGTGAGTAATAAACTCACTGAAGAAGCAGGACAGAAAAATAACAACCTGTCCTAGCAACTTTTTTAAAAAATGCAAAGCTACTCATTTTTTCTATTCAGACTGAGAGATAGTCAAGGCCATCTAAAAAATTTAGTAATTTGAACACATTCCACTTGAGCAGTAAGATAATAAGCAACTAGGATGCTGGGGCTTTTGTTGTCTGAGCATACTAATACACATTCAAGCTCCACACAGTTTAGCTCTCCTAATGTATAAGTGATTTTGTTAGTAGTAAATCCCATAAACTAATAAAAAATCAAATACTTTACTTAACTGAGAACATGACCGAGGCTTTATGAAATCACTAACTTCTGAAAACAAGAACTAAACAAAGGCTGAGAAAAGGTATGCATTTGTGTCCAGTGACGCCACCAGACAGTTGGTTTCGTTTCTAACATGCTCCTCTTGATGTCAGCTTTGTCTCCAGGCTCCTAATAGTAGCCAGAGCTCAAGTGACCTCTTATACGCCCCAGTGAAAACACATCATTCACCAGTGTGAACTCTGACCCCAGGCAACACTGGGAAGAACAAGAGCTCCAGAAAAGCACAGGCAACCAAGCTAGAAAAAGAACAGAAGAAACAAGCAGATAGACTAATCAGAATACATGAAAAATACCCTCTGCTTCCACCATGACTGAGGAGAGCCAGGAGATGAAGGCCTACTGCTGCCATGGGAAGCACCAAAGCAACCCATGGACGAGTCTGACACCTGGCTCAGCCCCACGAGAATGGCTTAGGGCTTAATCTGAACCATCAACTAACAGACTGTGCAAATAACCCAAGCAAACTGTGAGTCTCTCTTGGAACTTACGACTTTCCAAAGTTAAAAAATAAAAGCTACCTTTAAGAGTTACCGACGATATTCTACATATCAGAGAGCAATTCCTCTAATCTTCACATCTAAGCACAATCAGTGCTATCACATCCCTTTTAAAGACAAGTGAAGACAGGGTCATACAAGTAGGAAGAGGACAGCATCAGTGAGCCCACCCACTACCCAGGAAGCCAGAGGTCTTCACATACACCACGCCCCAAAAGGGTTTTTGAGCCAGACTGGATAGATGCCACGGTACCACCTGCCCAGAGAAGAGAGAGGCTGGGGCTAATGCAGGGGCATTGGAGGAAAGGACAAGAGACAGACTCGGGAACTTTTTAGGATGTAGAAAGTGAGTGTGGAGAATGAGGAAGAGGAAAAGCTGTTTCTGATTTTCAAGTAACCAGTGGATGGCAGCTTTCTCTCCCACCCCACCAAACTAATTTATATTTTATTTCAATATCCAAATATCACCTCCTGACGTACAAGGTCCTGAGGGTATAAAAGACGACAAGATACAAAGAAGCATAAATTCCTCCAGGCCAGAGAGCACAGTGGCCGACTGATGAAGCAGAGCCCAGACGCAAGCAGCGGCTACGGAAAAGTTAAGAACCAATCAGGCCACTGCAAGCAAGGGCAGATGACAGTGTGAGAGAGCAGAAGAGGAGGAAGGTGCCACTGCTAACAACAACAAAGTGCAACTATACACCGGCTACTGTGCCAGATGTTTTTATATATAAAACAATCATGTTCACTCCTTAACGTAATCCCAGCAAAGCAGTTCCTTCCCCATTTTTACAGAAGAGGAAAGTGAGGTTCAGAGAGGTGAAGCAACTTGCCTGAGGCCAAAGAGCTGAAAAATTACCCAAGTACTAGCTAGCTTGGTGAGGTCGTTACTATTTTCTTCTTGCTAAATTTGAAAACAAATTATGCTTTTAAATTCCCAATCCATGACACAGAACGGGAATGACCTACAGTTAATGGCAACATAAGTGAACAAAGTAGTCCCTTTATGCTCTTATTTATGAAATTCTATATACTGATATAAAGGCCATCATTCATTAAAAACTTCTGTAATTTTTAAAACAAACTCCTTATAGTATCAGTACAGCTGAAAGCAACTCCAGAAGTCCTACTTAACAAGTAAACTCTTAATTAAAATTCACAGGAAAGATTACTATTTGCTCAGACCCCAAACCTTAGTCATCCTGGACTCCTCTCTTTCTCTCTTACCTCAAAGCAGCCCATGCAGATCCCACTGTCCTTGCCTTCAAAGTATATCCAAACCATGTACTTGTCCCACGTCAGGCTGCTGCCCGCTTCCACCTGGAACACAGCTACAGGGCTCCTCCTGGTCTCTGCTTCCGTCTTGCTGCCCTACACGCCACTCTCAAGCAGCAGCTGCACTGACCCTTGCAAAGCACCCATCACACCACTTCACTCCTCTGCTACAACTCAGCGACAGTTCCCCAGTTCTCCCAGAACAGGCACCTACGCACTTAGCACAGTCTGCAAGGCCCCGTTCGAGGCGGCCCCTCTCCTGTCTACACCCTACATCTCAGCCTCATTTCCTTGCTCCCCTGGTTTCCTTGGCTGCAACCCCACTGACCTCCCTGCTATCCTCTGCCCATGCCAGGCATGCACCCACCTCAGGGCCTTTACACTGCCTGTCCCTCTAGGGGGGACACTCTTGCCTCAGATATCCACACGGCTAACTCCCTTTCCTCTGCCAAGTCTCTGCTCAAATGTCACCTACTCCACGAGGCCTATTCAGACCACCTCGTCTAAAATTGCATGGTCCACACCCTCACCCTGCTTCGCTTTTCCCACAGCACTCACAACTTCTGAAATACCCCACGACCTGTTTGTACACTGAGTTTACTGTCTGGCTGTCCCCACTACAAGGCAACCTCCACGGCAGGAAGGAGTTTTGTCTGTTCTGGACATAATGTCTCCAAGGCCTTATCACTAAAATGGTTAGTAAGACGTGGAGGCCAGATTCCACACATCCTTCTGTCACCCACAGGTAATGAGCAGAAGGCAGAGGGAATTTCTAGTTTGCTTTATAGACCACAGCTACCGAGGAGCTATCTAGACATTCTAGACGTCAGAGCTGGAGACTAGGCTCAGTGAGAGCAGGGCCTGCCTCGGTCTTGAGCACTGCTTCACCTCCAAGACTCAGCACAGGGGCTTGATAAATAGTTACTGAATAAGTGAATTAAACAGTGTGAAAACCTTGCTTTTGCAAGAATATAAGAATGGAAGAAGAAAAATTGACAAAATCTAAGAAAACCACACGGACCGCCTCTTCCCATCCCACATAAAAGAGAAATCACGCAACTGTAGTATTGATACTCCTATCAGAACTTCCACTGCAAATTTACTAGAGCAAAAATGACAACAGCGTGTGAGATTAGATAAAAGTTACTAGAAGGCTAACAAACAACGCTATGAGCAAGATGAGAAAGCAGAAAAAGTAATTCCAAAACCCTTGATACACTGTACAATTTTGTCCAATCTGGCTTCCCTACAGAAATCTCACCTAAACGAGAAAGTCACTGGGAAAGAACTATTAAGAAACAAACTGCTTATAAATGTCACCAACAGCAGATCACAAAAACACAAGTCTGACTTTCACATTTCTCATATAGGTCTATGGTTTTATTTGTTTGCCTTAAGTAACACCAAAACTTCAGGACAATACTTCTTGGAAGAGTCAAGTGCTGGTAAATGCTTTTATGTCAGCTAATAGGAGGAATGCAAAAGAAAAATATAATTCATATTATATATACATAATTCAAAATTTATCTTCTCTTGCCTCTTTAATGTTTGAATCAAGAGTTACCGATTTAAACAAAATCAACACTTTTAGAATATGGTACCCTCCATTAGCAACTGATAATTACAATATACCCTAACTTCTACAAGTTAGGTATCCTATTCTAAGCTTACTTCATTTAAGACTCATAGAATTATCATTTCTGTGTCATTGTGTCTCACTGTTTCCACCATAAAAACAGAAATAATTTTTCTGAAAATTTTACTCTATCAACAAAAATTATGACTTGGTGGGGACTAAAGAAATTCAGTCATAATAAAGGATATAATCACCTTCTGAAGACAAATAGACAATAGGTCTCAACACAACATTCTTCAAAAGGTGATGGTATTGGTATTATTTGCTTTCCCTGCAAAGCTTCATAATAATTACTACACCTCCCTCCGCTTCTCTGGAGGAACCCCGGGGAAGCTGAGGTAGAACCTGAATTTGTAACTGGAAGATGCAAAGGGGCCCCAGTTCTACCTGTGAGACTAAGAAAGAATCATTTCACCACCCCGAACCTCAGTCTGTTCACCTGTAAAACAAGGACAATGACAATACCTAACACTTATTGAGTACTGACTACATGCCAGTTACAAAACAGCATACTAGAGACACTGATAATAATGAAAAATAATGATGACGATATAATGATGACACCAAGTTAATGCTTACTACGTGCCAAGCCCTGTTCTAAGTACTTTTAAAATCCTGACTCACGTAGTTATTAATAACCAACCCCATGAGGTAGATTCTATTACTCCCATT